ATGTGTCAAAGTATTGAACGTTTTCGTTCCCTTCTTGTCAAAATACTACAGGGAATGATGGAAATAAGCTAAAAGACTACAACTATAAGGAAAAGAAGTTCGAAGTCGGAGTGATATGTTTCTGAACTTCTTTTCCTTATAGTTGTAGTCTTTTAGCTTATTTCCATCATTCCCTGTAGTATTTTGACAAGAAGGGAACGAAAAAGTTCAATACTTTGACACATGTCCTAATTGGCTGGTGGTGACTCTTGCGTAGATGCATGCGTAGATAATACATTTTTTGTAATAATAATAATTATTATTATTATTTTACAAGAAGTCGGAGGCGGATAATACTTTAATAACAAAGGTACGTGTTGGGTCGTAAGTATCCACGCAAACACACATCCAGTCAAAATAAGGCACTTGTCAAAGTATTCGAACGTTTTCGGTCCCTTCTCATCAAGGATTATACAGGGAATGGCTCAAGTTGGAAAGACTAAAACTTATATAGCGTAAAGATATGAGATAACAACACTCGTGACAAGGTGGAAAATTATCAAGTTCAGCACGACACAAAACTCGAAGGTAATAATAATAGTGACAAGAACATAGTGAGCAAATTAAGTTACATTGTTAACACCTCGACGAGGAGTAACACCAAACAATTGTAGCGACAACACATTTTCTTTCTGTACGCAAAGTTCAGGATCTAACTTACGGATATACAAAGCTTCTAACACAGCCAGATGCAATGCACGGAGGAGACAACACCCAACGGAGCTAAGAATCGCACTTCGTCCATCAAGCAACATCTGTCAGCCCGTACCAATTGTCGTGAGTTGTACAGTGATAATGTGTTCTCAATATTGTCACGTGGTAGATGTGCGTTGCATCTGGCTGTGTTAGAAGCTTTGTGTTAAAAGACTACAATTCGAAGCAGCAAAGCAGCACACCACCCAACTTGGGTGGGTCATAAATATCAAAGATAAGTAAAGAAATGGGAAGCTTTGCGAAAACGAATATCGTACTGGTCTCGTCATCGTCCAGTAACAATGGACATTTTTTGTTTCGTTGGGACTGTAGCTTTTGCTCGTTTTCGTTGCGCTTGCCTTCCCCTCTTTGGTATTTCCATAACCTCGAACCTTCCAAGTTGGAAGGCTGTCGGTTAGCGCTACGGAGATGTGTTGAAGCTAGGTGTCAGGACATCGAATGTCTCAGTACTCTTGTCAGTTTTGTGCCTAGTTATTGCACTTTCTGACTGTATATAGTATCCATTTACAGTGATTGAGAGTTACTCTTAACTCGTATCCATATGTCCTCTTCCTTTCCACAATAATAATAATAATAATTTGGAAAGGATTGGGAGAACTTCATATTCAAAGGATCAGTCGGGGAAGTGAACTGCCTGAAAAGAGAAAACCGCCAGACCCACCAGGACTCGAACCTGGGACCCTGCCTGTCATGAGCAATGCTCTAACCACTGAGCTATGGGACCAGGCTGAACCTAGAAGGCGCTGACAAGTTTTTCACTCCAAAGGCAGCTCACTTGGGTCTTTTTCCCTCCCCCAGGGGACCAACCACGGTCAGTTTCTGGAAACTACCAGAGGTGAAAGAAAGTGATTCAATTTGGAAAGGATTGGGAGAACTTCATATTCAAAGGATCAGTCGGGGAAGTGAACTGCCTGAAAAGAGAAAAAAACGCCAGACCCACCAGGACTCGAACCTGGGACCCTGCCTGTCATGAGCAATGCTCTAACCACTGAGCTATGGGACCAGGCTGAACCTAGAAGGCGCTGACAAGTTTTTCACTCCAAAGGCAGCTCACAACACGTGCCACACATACTGATGGCACTTGGGTCTTTTTCCCTCCCCCAGGGGACCAACCACGGTCAGTTTCAGCGCCTTCTAGGTTCAGCCTGGTCCCATAGCTCAGTGGTTAGAGCATTGCTCATGACAGGCAGGGTCCCAGGTTCGAGTCCTGGTGGGTCTGGCGTTTTTTTCTCTTTTCAGGCAGTTCACTTCCCCGACTGATCCTTTGAATATGAAGTTCTCCCAATCCTTTCCAAATTTAATCATTTTCTTTCACCTCTGGTAGTTTCCAGAAACTAGTGGTACTCAGTGGTGACGTGTTTTGATGGACGGACACTAGTGGTAGCAGACTGACTGACCGAAGCGACGGTAGCCATCAGGACCCGAAGAGAAAGAGGATGAAATGAGGAGAAACCACTCGTCAGGCGAAATTACTGGTCAGTTGGCGTCACGCATTTTTCACAAAAAATTGCGTTTCACCCGCTGGGAGAGTATGCGTGTACTCGAGTCTCATCCTGAGCACGTTTTTTCTTTCTTTTTTCAGCTCCAGTATAGCTGTATTTTTCATTGCAAAGCCGTCCTCGATTGTTGTGTTCGTTGTTCAAACGAAGTGGACATTCAATCATGAAGGCAGAGGACATAGGAGCCTGATTGGAGTTTCTCGTGGCATAGGACAGCCACACAGAGACACTTTGGGATTTTCTGAATATAAAATACCGTACGCACGATGCTGAGATCAATTTGTGCGATATCAAATTGTTTGTGATCTACCACATCGAGCAGAACGGGATCCAAACACAAGCTTACCGACAGTTAGGCTGCCGACCTGACTGGACAAATGATCCCTGGCTTCACCAGACGCCAGAAGTCGGACACCATGTCCTTTGCCGCGACGTCCATCTCCAAAAAGAACTCCATCTTCGTCGTGAAAAGGCTTGAAATACTCAATATTCAACGGAGATTCGCGGTCTCACCCTTTCTCAGATCGAATCATTTTTTTGTTGTAGCAGTTGCAGGGCAGATCCCCGCCACTACTTCAACAGAAGATGGCTCCAAAGCATGCCTGGAACAAGCCATATCGAGGTTGCAAGCCACCCCTCTCAGCACTTTTTTTGAAGAGATTCGAAATTTCAATGGTGGAAGATATACTATGAAGAGAATTTCAAAAAGTATGTTTCGCGGAGCGATCGCTCAACCTACGTCATTCAAAATTTGCAGGATGGTTCAGACGTACATGCTAGGCATGGAACCACAGAAGGTGATATCATAGCTTACACACAGAGTCACACACACAGCAGATTCGTGTGCACAGATACTAAATTAGTGGACGTCTTCATCTTCTTCCCGCTGATCTCAAATGTACTATGACGTGCTATTTCGCCTGACGGCCTTCATACCAGGGCCAGGCACTGGCGCCTAGCAACAGCCAATCAGAGAAGCTCATGTGACTACAAAGAGTAATGAGTAATGATTACATCATTGGCATAAATGTTAAAAGACACAAAAAGGTAACACATGTAATTGTGGGATTCGAACTGGCCCATCTTGGCCCATCTTGGCCAAGCTTGCACAAATTAGGCTTATACAGACTGGCCGTTAATGTTCTAGGTTTAATGTACTGCTGTTATTTGTTATCACTTTGTCCTTCCTTCTTTCTTTCTCTTCTTTGTTCATTTTTCAGTTGCAAGTTTAGTGTTAGTACACGCATTCCTTATTGCTTTCGCTTTCATTGTTAAAATTCACACTTGCAAATTTCAATGCTGTTGTTCTTAGTGTTATTTCTTTAACTTAGATTTTCTATAATAGTTCAATTTTGTTTTCAGTGTTCTTTAGTACAACAAAGATTCCTGACGAGTGTTGTACGAAAACTTGTTTGAATCCTTATTTTCTCTACACCATTTCTTCACATTTTCATCGTTTTATTGCACATTGTCTCCACAGTTTTATATTTCATGAATAAAGTGTACACAAATGTCGATCCAGCTTGTATTACTGATTGCGGTTATCAAATTGCTGTCTCCTCGCCGTTTGTTCAAATTTATTATTACTTGGTCCGCGTCAGCGATATTGTCGCTTATCTTTCAGCTTTGTTTATATGTTGCCAATGCTTACTTGGCAGCCCATTTCATCCCAATTTTGGTTAGCAAGTTAGTAGTTTGCTAGTACCTGAAAGGTCTAGCTAGAGTTCGAGTGGATTTCGAGAGCGACAGGTGGGTGATTCTGATTGATACAGCGCCGCATCAAAATAGATTATCTTGTTACGCTGTGCAGGCAAGAGCAGCGCAAGCCACAAGAAAGTAATCGGTAGAACTCGGAATCAGCTCTATTTTGCTGAATGGCCGAGATCGCTCACCTCAGGGATCGCTCATCAAGCTGAGATCGCAGCTCCCTTACCTCCAGCTCAACGCTCGGAGTATCCAGCGCGTCGTGGAGATTTGCAAGTACTGTACGCGTCGTCGGCGTTCAAAATAAAATTTTGCAAAGAACGGCGTCTGATTTGAACCACACAGGCTGTAGTGCTGCCCACGCAAAGTCCTATAGAGAAGGCGACCGTCACGATCGATTTCTCTTTAGAAAATAGCCAGGCAGCGGAGAGGAAGAGAGATGAGCTTGCAAAAGCAAGAGAGTCGATCCCGAGCAAAAATATTTGTCGCCAGCGCCGAAAGCAGCGACGAGGAGGACTGAAAAAAGTAGAAACCCTTCCTTGGACAATAAATTCCTCGCAGCTAGTTGTCATTCTATACCTTACCGTCCATCGTACCAAGTTTTATCACTTCAAGTGCACGCGTTCATGTCCAAAGTCTAAGTTCAAATTGTCGAAAAATAAGCGACAATATTGCTGACGCGGACCAAGTATTATTATTATTTTTTCTTAATTAAGGGGGAAGGATTGTTATAGATTGCATTCACTTTGTATTGCCGTCGTTGCATGCTGCTCTCTCGCTGCCTCTTCGTACAATCTTTTCTCCTTTCGCTTCGTACAATATTCTCTATTCGCGCATGTCTGCAGTATTTCTCATCATGGCTGCTGGCCCTTACCTGGTTGCTCTGGGCATGCTCGAGTCATTTCTCTTGCTTACCTTCGTAATGATAACTACCAACAATAATTACTCCTCGTGTTGCTTGTGACTGTCGTGTGCCACAAGCACAAGCACAAGCATGCAGTAACTAAGTGTAAGTAACAACAGTCATCCTTCTAGATAACTCACGTGCAGGCTTTGTTGTTCCAGTAATAGGTCCAGGCCACTTCGGAGACTTTACAGGCATAGCCAATGTATTCTGTACATTGATGTTGCTGAATGAATATTCTGCATCCTCCTCCAGTGTCCCTGCTGTACCACTCTGTCCATGTGAAATGGTCACTGTATGAGCCATGCCCTTGGTTGCAGTGTTCATCCTTGTTGACATGACACATAACTCGTGTGAACTAGAAGCCTGTAAAATTCCAGAAATTTTGGATAGTACGGGAGTATAGCAAACTTTGCCAAGGTTATAATCACCGGTATTCACTGTGATTGTCAAATTGATCAATTTATTGCCTCCTGCTGTTGTCAGACTTGGCGTAGGAGGCGCTGTTCACAGCAGAATGCATAAAACACCCGTATCAAGTTGTAAGTGCACATGCACAAGCGCACAAACGCACACACATACAAAAGCACCCACACAGTATACGTATCTATTATTGCACAGGTACAGATTATGAGGGCAATACTAGATTTATCATGACATAGCATACCTAAACTGATTATTTATCATGACATAGCATACCTAAACTGATTATTTATCATGACATAGCATACCTAAACTGTTTTTGAAAGGAATACTATTGTTATAATACGCATAAAAAGGACACACTCCAGGCTCTTTACGAACATCTTGAAAGTTTTTGGTTTCACAAGTATACTTTCAAGCCTTCTCTTCAGGTGAAATACAGGCAAGGGAAAAGGAACAGGAACAGTGGATGAAGTGCAGTAAGGAGGTGGTAAAACAGTGCAAAGAAGAAGATAGCTAAAGTAAACAGCGAAAATGCGTGACCTATACACATAGCAATAATGACACAAAGGTGCAAGTGCGAGAAAAAAAGAATAAGAAAACTCAATAAGCGTGACATGTAGTGCGACAACAAGAGACAACCACTGGACATAACTAACGAGGTTTTGATGACCTACCTTACAGCCTAAGTGTGAATTTAATTCCCGTAGCTATGCAGAAGACATTACTTCAGTAACGTCTGGCGCTAGCCAGGGTCCACACAGCTTTAATTTGGTGTTTGTTTGTTTGTGGCGGACGGACCTCCATCTGGCGCTATCCCGTATCTGTCCCGTACCGTACCATCAAAGACAGCTGGCCACAAACAGCTGGCCACAATATTCAACGCATATTGAAATAGGGTTTTCAAATGCAAGATCACAACGTGAAGCAACTTGGAAGAATGAGTATGCATGCGAAGTGTATCGGGTAATGCATGTAGGGCGGTTGTGTGGGTTCGAATCCCAGGTTATGCAAAAAAATGGAGAATTGAAAAAATTATAACATCCTATGTTTTTTGGCCTAGGCCATCAAGGCGGTAGACGGTGTCGTAGTACCGTCGACCGTACCTGTCCCATGCCGTACCGTACCATCAAAGACGGCTGGCCACAACAAACAGCTGGCCACAATATTCAAATCAGGCTTTCAAATGCTAGATCATAACGTGAAGCAACTTGGAAGAATTATTCTCTGCCATCCTGGGTGCCTAAATTGTTGACCCCTGACGCTGCGCTCGCGGAGTATTTGTAGATTTGACTTTATCGGATTTGGAATTTGTGGTGCCTCTCGCCGCCCGCTCACCCTAGCCACACCTGGAGCTGCTGCCGCCGCCGCCATCCGTCGTCATGCTGTTTCCGCTCATCAGCCTGCCAGCCAACACTGGTTTTCGCCGCAGTCCGTTCCTGCGTGCACCGCATTCTGGCTGCCTGTCAATCACCGGCTGTTGACATTAAACTTGAGCCTCAACATCCGCACTTCACCGCCTGGATTCGGAGCTGCTGTGGAGCAACCACCCATGCATTACCCGATACACTTCGCATTCCGCTGAGAGGTCAGGGACCATGTTCAATTGGGACCAGGAGAGAGCCATCTCCGGCAGCTATGGATCTGGAAGCCACGAGTAGAGCGGCAGCACCAACCACAGCATGGAGCTTGAGATGACGTCGTGGGGAGCGTCTCTGGGATGGGGCACTTTTAGACCGCCAAACTTCCGGCACTGCAAAAACCAGCAATGGCAGGCAGAACATTGTCGGCTATCTCTCTATTCCGATACAGGTTTGCAGCGCTCACCCAGGCATTCGTGATGAGGCAAACCACTCCTATAGAAGAGTGAACCATACAAGGCACCCGCAAAGGCACACAAACAGGTTTGGGCGGGGGAAGAACATTGTAAGCGGCCCGCCATTCCCGTCTATCCTCGACCAAGTCGTACCATTTGTCGATGCCCAACACTGCCAGATCCTTCTGCGCAGCATCCCACCACATTTTCCTCGCACCGTACATCGGTCGGAAAGGATGTATGGTGCCAGACAGTAGCTGACGCGGGGCTCGCTCTTCATGCTCTTCATGCATTCGCACAATATGCCCAAGCCACTCCATGCGGCGCGATGTCAGCAGGCTAGAGATGTCACTTGGTGGACGTGGATTCCATCACGCCAGAACATCAACTCTGGTCAGTTGTTCGTCCCAGACAGTCCGCTGGCTGATACCCATTACGGAACGGATGCAACGCAGATGAAAAGAGCACATTGCATTAAGGCCGGGCTTCAACGGCACCCAGCACTCAGCACAGTACAGAAGCAGAGACAACACGCATGCTTCGTACACAAGCCGCTTCATTGCAAGGGAAAGGTTGCCGTCATGGAAAACCGGCTGGCCCAGGGCTCCAAATGCACGTGATGCGCCGACAATGCGCGAGCTGATATCCGGCCAAAACTGGTCACGTGGGTCTCCCCGGGAAGATGACTCAATTGGCTATTGAACCGCCCAATGGCCGACACCCCCTGAAGTCCCCAAAACTCTGGGTGGACTTGAAAATGATCCCACTATTGCAGTTACCCCTGGCCCCAGTGAAGGTAATACTTGCTACTAGTGTGGGTTGCTAAATCAGAGTGGATTTGATCAGTGGTGGGTTTGGGGGGGGGGGGGGGGGTGCGCCGGGGGCGCCCCCCCCCCCCCTCAAAGGTTTTGACCTAGGTTTCGAAAAATATAAGGCAGGGCTGGGGGCGTGCGCACGTGGCCTGAAACGATCGTCCAAAAGGGGTTGCAGTCCGCTCCCGGCCCGTATGGCTGTGGATGCACAGGTAGTAAACTAGATCACTTAGAGTGCTGATTCACTACAACCGCCAGGAGTCATGGCCGGAAACGGAGCTGATACGGAGCCCTGGCGACAGCTCTCGTCTTCGACACTGAAGAAGAACACTGTTGCATTCCCCTCGCAAGCCCAGGTAAGCGTGGGGGCCTACATAAAGCTCCAAGAAGAGCAAGGTATCACCGGCATCATTTTGATGCAGACAACAAGCAGGGGTCAATGTAGACTTACCGTTGAGTCATATGAAAAAGCCAAATTGTTGGTGCTCAATGGCTTCGATTGCAAGGGCGAACGAGTTTCACCATGCTTTGTTTCCGCACCAACAACACAGCTACACATCCATGATGCTTCGATCTGGATCTCAGACGGTGTGTTCAAAGCTGCTCTCTCACCGTACAGAAAGCTTATCGGTGAGATACAACACGGCACCCAAAGAGCAACTGGTGTGCGATTCGCCACGTTCGAACTAAAACCAGGCAGTTCGATCCCGTCGTATCTGCGTGCTGCAGAAGGTTCCCACGAGCTCCGCATCATCTACGACGGCCAGGCAGGCACGTGCAAGCTATGTGGCCAGATAGGTCACATCGTACGTACCTGCCAAAAACCGTCGCAGTGCACACACCTCCACGCATGCCGGCAGAGAAGGCAGCGGCACTAGCACTGGCAGCACAGAGAGGAACAGTGCTAGCAGAGATGAAGCTGACTCTCACCATACCGATTCGGCACCAAAAGAGGTCCTGAGTTTGACCAACGCCAGCGCCGTATCCGAAACGGCCTCCGACTGTGCCAACAGCACGCCGAAAGCAGACCTGCTCCCCCAGCTTACACCCAAACGATTCAGTCAACGACCAGTACGACTTACATCACCCATGTCGGCAACAAGCACAACCGTGCACCCCGGAACGCCGCCAGGCAGCACAGGTACAGGTCAGCACAGGTACAGGTACGACAACATCCAACTCACCGCACACCGACACAACTACTCCTACTACCACAACATGCAATCACCCAGATTCGGCGCGTGCTGAAGACCTCCTCTCCTCACTGGTGACTAACACAGACATGTGTAAACAGCCAGCAAACCCCTGGATTACCTCCGGACGATGCAGGAGCACCAGTCCCAGTGCGGAATCCTCATTCATGACGCATTATCATATCCGAGAGCAATTGTCAGTAGAACAAGGCTGCATTATCTGGGGCATGCGTGTTGTCATTCCACTTGCCTTCCGCACCAGTCTGTTGCAAGAATTACACACTGATCATCCAGGCGTTTCTAGGATGAAAGCAGCAGCCAGGTCGTTCTTTTGGTGGATGCACCTTGACAGTAACATAGTCACTTTAGCAGCCAGTTGCCAATTGTGTCAACAGCAGAGTCGCATGCCTGACAAAGCACCCATTCATCATTGGCTTTATCCTAATCGAGCATTTGAGGGAGATCACATTGACTCTGCGTAATATGCAGGACAGCAGTTCTTGTTGATTGTAGACGCTTTCTCCAAGTGGGCTGATATCTTTGTTCTTGGTAAATCTGCAACAACCGAGGAAACACTATCCTGCTTGCATCGATTTGTCAGCTATGTGGGCATACCGCTCATGATGGTATCGGACAATGGTCTTCAATTCACCTCCTCCCTCTTTGCAGTGTTCTGCGAAAAGAACGGTATCCGGTGTAAGAAGACGCCACCATATCATCCAGCGTTGAACGGTCAGGTAGAACAACTTGTTCAAGAAATGAAGAAGTAGTTGCGCAAGTCATCCGATCCTATTCCTGACGTCATCTCCAAGTTTCTGTTAAGGTACAGGAATACGCCTCACTCAACTTCCCAAGTCACTCCTGCTAGCATCATAATGAAGTGTGTGCCCGTGACTCGGTTTTCGTTTCTATTTCCCACCGGTACATGCAGAGTAAGCAAGAATCCGGCACTGCTGTTGTAGTAAGTTATTTTGTGTACGTCGTGTGTACGTCATGTTGGTGCATGTGCATGTTGCTGTGGTGTGAAAAGCAGTCTTCGTATCGAGTTCGTCATGTCTAGTTGTGTTTCCGTAGTCATCTTGTAATAAACAGTCTTTCAAAAGTAGTTATCATCGTCCCTTTGTATAAGTGTGGAGATGGCACGGGACTGGGAGCAGTTAGAGAAAAGGCAGTTACAACACTGCTACCAGGGCATTCACTCCTGGCGACAGCATATGGGCTCACAACATGAGGTCACGGAAGTGGACACCTGCTTCTGC